TCGAAAAGGAGGAGGAGAAAACATAGGGAATGTTATCGGCTCGGTGTTTTTGAAAGAGACGGAGAAAACGTAGGACGTATCCCGGTGCTTTGGATAATGAGAGGAAACGTAGGGACGAGTATCTCGGTGGCGTTTTCTCATTCTCGGAAAGAGAGAGAAACGTAAGGAACGTATGGCCAGTGGTTTCGAATGGTGTGAGCTTGCACAACGTAATTTCCAATGCTGCTTAACCAGAAGAAGGTCTGACCCGTCGCACTGCGCGAGGAGAAAGAATGATAATTGCAAGTGAAAAGGTGCATAACATGCAAGTAATGGAGCATGACGAAATTGCTAGAAATAGATGTGCATAAATCAATGCAAATGAATGAGCATAACAATGCTAGTGAAGTGGGTGCATAACAATATGCAATTGGAACGTGCATCACAATGCCAAGTGGAACGGGCGTGACAACGCATATTTTGGGAAACAAAATGCCGAATAAAGGAATAACAAGCCTTAACCAAGAACCAATTCCAAAACAACAACCTCCGATTTTACTTCTAGAAGGGTCCACAATATATATTTCAAAAAGATACACCTCGGTCGCATGCCGACTGACGATGCAGCTAACGACATCGAAGACATGAAATTGAAAATTCCGCAGAAACAATTTTTGTAGCGATAAGTGGGGTTACTTGTTTCTGTTATTTACTGCATGGATATTCACCTTGTATGTAACATGGCTCATAAATAAAAACAGAGGAAGGAATAGAGTTATCTAGTGTAAAATAGAGAGCTACATCATAACAAAATTTATTAGAAAAATGGAAAACACAATCCAAATATTCACATATGGTTTCTTTACAAGACAAGCAGTACTTTTTCACTTTTGAGTTTACGCTCGTATTGGTTCTATTAATACCACAATATCATTGACACACTTAAATCGTCCCAGATTCGTTAGGAGTAAGCGTATGTACTCAACTCTGGAGTTGTCTTTACGCGACAACAATCCAGGGCCATCAGTATGCGCTAAGAAACCGGTCAATGAGTGATCGAGCATAACTCTCTAAGCATGCGTGGAGTATAGATTCGTACTCACTTTACAACTGGAGAACGGGAGAAATTGAAGAGGGAGTTTTTTCAAGTCAGCTACACTCCAACAAACTGTCAAAAAGCTGACATTCTCACCAAAGCTCTTGCTCGAGTTAACTTCGAAGATCTGACGGAAAAATTGGGCATGATTAACATCTACAACGTTGTCTTGAGGGGGAGTGTTGAAATAAGTCAGCCACGTGAGTGTATGCTTTCGGTGATTATATTTAATTCATATGCTTTATTTAATTCTTTATGCTTTCGGTGAGTGTATGCTGATATAGATATAATATATATTATATGTATAGTTAAATATTGTAGTGGCCTCGTTGGCCTGCTTGTTTGGTTGGCCTCGTGGCCTCGTGCGGCTCCATCTGATCATATTGCATAAACCTCCTATATAATGGAGTAGCATTGTAAGGCTTAATATATTGAAATAAAAAGTGCTAATGTTTTAGTCTTTCAATCACTCTCTCTCTCTCTCAATATTAATATTTCTCACTTCACATGACAATTCTGCTTATGGTTCCCATGTCATGCAATATGGCGATCTAGGCCTTAACGCAGACCATATTTTCCTGTATATGGGCACAAATCCTGCAAATGATAACTACACTTTTGTGGATGACAACGTTCTGTGACCATCTTCAAGATCAAAAGCTGTTAACCAGTGTGATGCTGATCTTTTACATTTCTGGCAGAAGGTTTTGCACAACCTTTTCTGTACCATATCAAATTATTATGCATGCTTCTAAAAACCTGTAAGTTGTAGGACAAAGAACTTTCTTCCTTTCATTATCTGACCAGCTTTGAGTTTTCTACTTTTCATAATCACTACAAGAAATTGCATTTTTGGCGACTAAAATTTTAGTCGCCAAAAGTCAGATTTTTAGTCGCCGAAACGTTTTCCTGACTAAATAGTTTGGTCGCCGTCTTGGTCGCGGAAAGATCGTCGGGGAAGGTATTGGCGACTAAAAAATATTTAGTTGCCGAAAGCCCTAAATTGGCTACTAAACAATTAGTCGCCAAAAGGAAAGGTATTGGCGACTAATTTTCTTTAGTCGCCAAAAGTCAGCGATTGGCAACTAAAAATTTAGTTGCCCAAAGTTTTCAATAAATGTGTGTTTTTGTTTTAGCGACTAAAATCTTTAGTTACTAAAAACATGTCTCCTTTTTAGCTACCAATTTTTTGGTCGCTAAAGTCATGGTACTCCTTTTCGGATACTAATTTTCTAGTCACCAAATTTTATTTTTTTTTTTGGCTACTATCTATTTAGTAGCCAATAAGTTCTCTTTTTATTTTTTGGCTACTAAATGTTTAGTCGCCAAAAGCTATTTATTAATTTTTTTTAAATGCATAAATTAAATATTTTTAATTAATTTGTAAATTATATGCAGTCCATTATCAACGCAACCTGTAACCTGTAAATATACAAAATAATATATCTATCAATTATCATCTAAATCCATTACAAATAATATTACTCATTTCATTATCATATAAATCTACATCAACACCAACCAAGTATAATCTATCTAAATTAAATATTACATACAAAAACAATGGATTTCCAAAACAAAGAATTGTACAAAAATAAATGACTTTCATATACAAAACAAATGCTCTTCCTACACAAAAATAAATATCCACAATAGCCCATGCAAAAGCAATCAGTTAAAAAAAAAAAAAACCATTAGCACTTATTCAATAAAATTGACATTTCAAATTATAACAATTATAAATTTAATAATTCTGATATATTATACTTTGCAAATTATTGTAATCAAATAGACAACATGTTATTGTAAATGAAGTGCATGGTATGGTTCACCTAAATCAATGGCCTGCAAAACATACCATTAGAATTTGAAAGGGAAGTGAAAGGCAAATGATTCATAGTACTTTGTCAAGAAACTCAGGGTCACCCAAACTAGCAAAAACTCATGGTCACCTAACCTCCAGTTCCTTCAGTGCTTTGTCAAGAAAAATTGCAATAGCAAACAAACAACATGATTAGACTTTCCTGAAAGGATACTGAAGTATTCATTTACAAGTATCAATGTTTACATGTCCACATCTCTTAAAAAAAAATTGTCTCATAAACCAGCAAAATAGAATGAGGTTCCAAAATCCACATTTCTTTGTCACTGGTCAAATTTGTTGAAACTTAAGAATCTCAAGAACTTCATAATGAATTTACATGAAGATGAGATGTAAAAATTGGTTACAACTTTCATCCAAAATTAAAATTTTCATGCTCATATATGACATAAGAAATAAGTGATGTTGTATTTTATCAAAATTGTATTCAATATACCCTATGCTAAAGTTGTTAAAGCATCAATTGGTCCAACAAACTCCTGACTGACTTATCAAAATTATATCTCCAATATATAGATATTGACAATAAAATTCTGCTCTTCCCTTTACTTCAGTGCAAAAGAGTAAGTGAACCCATGCTAAACATTGCCTCTGTTTCAAACTTGCTCTTGAAAAACAAAACCATGATTTGGTACTGATCAGTGAAATTACTGGATGAGATATCATGGTATGATGATCACCAAGCCTAATAAGGTGGAAAAGGTCCATCTACAAATAGTCAATAAGCATTTCCTGGATTTATTATATAGAAACAAGCTTTCACAAATATAAAGAGTAACATGGCAAACATCAACTTGGGCCCATTCCATGTGCTAGGGCTGCCTAAAATAGGAGGGCCAAAACAACTTAGGCAAATGTCTCAAAAATAGTTAATACAAAAAAGTAAAGGGATCAATGAAATTGGACATTTCACCTGTGTATGTCCATTAAAAAAAATTACAGTGGAAGGAAAGTTTCCCACCACTTTCACAGATAGATATATTCTATATTTCACCTGTATGGTAACATGTCTGAAAAAAACAGAGAAGAATAGAGTATAGTGGGAAAAAATAGAGAAGCTAATCATAAGCAAATAAAGAAGAAAATGAAGAAGAAAATCAACAAAAACAAGAAGCAGTGGTTTCTTTACAAGACAAGCAGCACTTTTTTCACTTTTGTTCCAAAAATGCTTAAAATATAGTATGTAAAAAAGCTAACAAAGCAATTTCTCAAACTCTGTTCCAGAAAGGTTGAAAGAAAAATGTTTAAAAATTAAACAAAGAAAAGCTTCATACATACCCTATTTTAAACAATGGTTTTACACCTATACCTAAGTAAACATTGCTTCAGAAAATACTCAAACATACTCAAACAGTCATAAAAACATAAAAAAAAAAAAGAAGAAAAAAAAAAAAAAACTCAAACAAGTATATTTATAGGTTGGGATTTCACCTTTTGGAGCAAGTGGGATTCAGCTTCATCCTTCTCTAGCCACATCATTCGGAGTACTCGGGAGACAATAATTTGCGTGGATGTAGCCGAGTTGTTAACTATAACATTATTTGTATAATAAAGTATGTCCTGTGTCCATGGAATTCTTCAAGTAAAAAATTTATGGGCATTAATTGATCTTGTATCTTTAGGGGGAAAATTAATATGTTACGAAAAAGTTCCAACAATGAAGTTCCAACAATGAAATATGAACATCAATGAAGTTCCAACAAACTGATCAAGTCCTGTAGGTGATACTTCCAATAAGAGCAAAGAACCAGCACTTACCACTATTAATTGACAAAGTCCCAGCTGACTGCACATTAAAAAGAAGGGGGGCCTCCAATACTTCACAAAATGTATACTGAATTTTGTCAATGGTAAAAACCCAAATCCATTTTTTTTGCTTGCTATAGTGCTCCCAATAACAGTGTATTTTGTATTCTCACATTTTCACCAAAAGAAAAAAAGAGATAAACAAAGAGTCTAAATATGTCAGACTTGGTAGTTTCAAGAATTATATAGATCATAAAACACAAGTCAACTTTTTAATCATGTGATTCAATATTGATTTTATCCCAAAATAGATTCACCTATTGTGAATTGCATTGTGAATCATAAGATTCTGTTTATTTTGATAGACCATTCCATATCAAGGATGGAACATACCAACTCAATGCCACCTTAATTGGCGTTGTGAGACAGGAAGTGAACACATCTGCAGGCAAACCAGCATGTTGAGGAAGACTTTCATGTGCTTCACATGCTGCAAGAAGAATGCAGTCCTTCATGGAAGATGAAGATGGACCACTC